TACATTGATGGTTAAAGTCGATTATTTACACAATTGTTGAAATTTTCACACTCCCAATCGGCTCAAGCGCGGGAAACCCACCATAATGTTGTAAACAATGCAATATTATAATCACATTTATTATTTTTGTATTTATTCTACTAATTGTTATCTTTAATAATAGTAATTTTATTTTATATTACCGGATTATTGATGGCAACGAATGTTGAATTATCATATTACACCATTGTTGATGATTCAACATTCTTGATATAAAGTATAAATAAGTCCCGTTTTTGGATGGTTGAGTAAAATTTTTCAAGAAAGGGTAAATGAAAGAAAAAGATCCATTACGCAAGGGTTAACTCCGAGAAACAGAAAGAGGGCCTTGACAGGCAATGCGAGTACCTCATGCAGAAGTATCCAGACCACGAACTCATCAGGTCTCAACTGGAAACGCAAGTGTTTCATATCCATTTTGGAACGATCGTACCGAGGAGATATCGAGAAGGTTTTGGTTACCAGGAAGGATCGACTCTGCAGATTTGCGTACAAGCTTGTCAAATAGATTTTTGACAAGAAAAGTACGGACGATACTGAATTCGGTCAGCTTACCGAAAACGACAAAGAGATTAAAAACACGAAAGATACTGATTTACCCAAAAGATAAAAGTTGAGAAAGTAGATGGGAACTACAAGATGGACGCACAAAAGGTTCTAACATGGTGCAGGACGATGAACGTACGCGATTCGACAATTGATAGCCGCATACAAAATAAATAAGAAATAATTTTCGAACAAAGAACGACCAAAGAAGGATCGAACACAAACCATCTCGATTCTTGAAGATAGAAATACCTTTATATGCATAATAAAGACTATCTTTAGTTATTCATATTGAATTCAATTTTCAAGGGTACACAAACCCCAATGATGTAATGAATGATGGGGTAAAGACTTTGTTGATTATCCGAAGAGCGATAAAAATAGTTCATGGTTTTTTTTGTGAAACAAAAAAAAAAAAAAAAAAAAGCATTTCAAGAAACAAGTTGGTTTTAATCAATCATTATTCCTTTTTTTATTGTAATTACAAAAAATGAAAAATTTCGGATTTTTGTAACTAGATGATCGGACCTTATTAAAAGATCCCGTACGTCGAATGCATCCTCTATGGTCATATACTTCTCTAGGCATACACATCGGATGTATGCATGCGTGATACACATCACTTTATCATGACTTTTTGTCAGGAACTCTACGTAAAATGGTCAAACGGCTTGTTCATTGGTAATTGTCACATTATTTTATTATGCAATCTATCACATCGCATGATAACTAATATAATGAAAGGATGTAACTCTTACCAATGGACAAGCCGTTAACTACACTGGACTCTGCGTTTAAAAAAAACATCATGCACATTTTGTGCCAAATGCATGTGTACTGTACATGCGTGCGTGTATGTACTGTATGTGATAGACAACGAAGTTCGTAAACAAAGAAAAAGTACATTAGTTCTTTATGTTAATGAAACGTCAGAGAATCCGATCAAAATTTCCTAGCCTAACCAAAACCAAAAAAAGCTCGCGTATTAATAATTTTTATCGTGAGAAGTATTAACTGTAATAAATAATGCAAGTAAACTTGATCTAACCATAATTTGTCACAGTAGACGCCACGAGTCCATTGATATTCTCAAACAGCTAATTATGACCTCCAGTCTAAACAATTTTTCCGTTATTTTTAATTGAATATGGAGTTATTCGGTCTGGTTTTCTTTCTTGTTTCACTATACACGCTACATAAAACCGAAAGGTTATCTTTATGTTTGATATACTGTAAGTCCATTGTTTTTTAAATAACATCATTAATTTTGGCAGTCAATAAAAAGTGGATCAAGTTTTTAAACAAGTTTTAGTCATATACTGTAACTGTGGTACATTCCTCGTGTGCTTCTGTGATTCTATGATGTACCACGAGATGACCAAACAATTACACACAGATTATCATGGCAAATTAAATCTCCTAAGGATGTTCTACAAAACCACCTGAATGAAACGTATGTACAGTATGTTTGCTGGTTTCTTTTTTGATCTGTTTATATCTTTTCGTTCTTTAATGAGATGATAAATAACAAAGTCTAATGCTTGTACTATTGTGGAATACAATTGATAACCATCTAAATGTGATTTTCTATCTCGAGTCCGAGCACCGCAACCGATTTGACATTAGCATACTGAAAGTGAAGACATGTCCTTGTACATAGACTGCCAACTTTCCCGATATTTTGGATATACTGTAAATGCACGACCATATAGGTTGTCCAAAATTTGACACTGATAAATCGAATGTACTTGCTATAAAATAAAAATCAAAAAAATAATAATAACGAATCTTTATGAAATAAATGTTGTATCGTACTGTACATTATCTATTAATTTGGACCTTAAATACACTGAAATTATGAAATTATGCATATACATATAGTAATCTACTGTACATATGTTCATTATTAAAAAATTAAATAATCATGTTACGGTTTTACAGTATGTGCTGTGTTGCTCATGTAAGTTTCAAGCACCGTATATGGTAGGACACGGAGTCGCATCCATAGGTATAAAATCTCAGGAGGAACTTCTTTGTTGAATAATCGCATTCACTTCTACTGCCATATCTCTGTAATACGTTTTTTGCCCGGGAGTTAAAATTCTCCAAAAATGTTCAGTGGCAGAATTGATCACAAAAGAGTCTTCTTCTCCCACCCGTGAACCTTCTCTCTTGATAACCGCTCTAAATAAATTTCGTCCCTTCAGATGGCGGCCTTGCAAGACTCTTCTGAAAATGACTTCTCTATTCAATTGTAGAGTATTCAACATCTCCTGTGGATTACTCACGAAGGACATTATTAAATCGTTAATAATGCGGATGAAATTTTCTAGCCTTTGCTGATGACTTTGACGTTGGTTCATATTTATTATTTTTTTTTTTCAATTCAGTTTAAACGAGGCGAGATTTTGTTAGATATGAAGTGACAACATACGCAAACACTGGAATTCGATTTTTCAAAAGGAAAGGTCCTCCTTAAATAAATGGAGCGCAAACTGTGTAATAAAACAAAGCGACGTCTCGCTACGTGCGTGTGATTATAATAAACAATATAATAAACATTTATTGCCTGACCATACAATGTCATTACGTGAGCTATATTTTTCACCAAAGAGAACAGATGACACCCGGTGGCCAAAATCACTTTCCTCATGACCATTTGTTTGTTAAAAAAAACCAATTACCAAGTCAATTACTGTTTAATTGATGATTAATTTATATGCGCTTGTAGATTTAATGTTTATTTTGCATGCGATTTTAATGCATATTCACGCGATTCGATTTCCCCGAGTATGTTTTTGTCGAGCTTATATAGATGAGTCGAAGATTATTATTATTTTTTTTTTTGAATAATGATGTATTTTGTGCTCATTAACAAATTGTCATGCGTGTTTGTTATATCGGAAATGTATATTGTATCGTGTATCTAATCGGATCTAATCATTCATCGAAAGTCATATTGTCTCACCGATGTCGAGTCGATAAATGCTACCAAGCTCAAGAAGATCTCTCTCCTATGACTCTTGCGACCTGGAAAGATGGTGAGATAACATGGTATGCGTGTGTGCGTGAGTGGTTGCGTGCGTGCATAAACAAAGCAACATGGCAAGAAGTTTCTTTTATGTGTGCAATCATGTGTCGAAAAATTTCTCCCTTGCATTATTATTGACATCATATGTTCGTTCATTTCATTTGCAAAAACGAAAACGAACGAATTGTACACGTCACAAGATCTAAACAATTGATCTTATGATTTATATCACGATAAGATGTGTCTCGATTCGATGGAGAAGACAATCCTCTGACGATTCTTGTGATCACTCTGGATGAAATCGATTACGAAGGTTCATTGATTCAGTGAATTTTGTTTTACTTGCGAGAGTATATTTGGAAAAAGGAGGAAGAAAAAAAAGTCAATTACACGTACGTACTTATGTGAGCCTGTCATACGTGAGAATCATGGAATAATTAGATAACAATACTCACAGTTGCATCTTAGTCATTGACTTTTACTTTCTCAAAGCATGAATGCCAAGTCTGAAAATATCGTATTGAAAAAAAAAAAAATTTTCACGGAAAAATTGTGCACTCGACACATATGTATAATACACATGTCACGAATACTCTGGACTTTGTCTCGAATATGATAATGATTTGTCATGTGCCCGATCTGCACATTGTTTCTCCTTTGTTTCAGAAACAATACAACTACGTTAATTGAATTGCTCGCGAAAAACAGATACTGTACTATAATTGCATTACTGTATCAATAAAAATTTTATCTATTTATTTATTTATTTTTATACCATAGTTTTGGACAATTAGGATATTTTGTGAAATTTAGATTTACTTTATAGATGCACGGCATGTTTAAAAAAAAATTTATTATTTTCTTTTTTAATCGAATCATTGATAACCAATTTTATTAATGGTAAACCCGTTGCATTTTTTTTTTTTTTTTTTATAAATATATACTGTATACGTCGTATATTTAAATAATTTTTGGGACAAAGACATTTTAAAAAGTTATTATTTATATCAATGAAGCCGTACTATCTTTAACAAACAAGAAACTATTTATTTTTATGCAACTATATTTAAAAAATGGGAACAGCAACTTGTTAATGAACTTTTTTTTTTCAATTTTCAATAATATTCAAATTCAAATTAAACCTCTTATTACAATAATTTCAATTTCAAAGATCATATCTTTTTTTAATTTATTATACAAAAAAGTTATAATATCTCTGTATATTAAAAAATATTATACAGTATATTCGTATTAAAACAAAACTTTCAAAAAAATATTAACATAAAATATAACTTTATGTTATTTTTGACTAATTCATAAATCACAGTGTTTTTATTGTTTTTGTCAAGTTTGAAATTCTGTTGGTGGGCTATAAAATCATTTAAGATAGATAGATATTTTGAATGAAAAGAGAAACTAAGATGTTTAACTGGTAATTGAAAATATGGGCTGTTTGTTTTTTAGCTTTGAACTTGATTTTAAAAAATTTGATATATTTGATATTTGGATTCTTTGAATCAGTTTTGAGAAAGAAGATAAGCCAGGATTTAGAATAATTAGAGAAAGAAAGAGTTTGTATTTCTTTTGTTAGCTTGGTAACAAATACTTTAGAAAGTTTATAATTTTTGTAAATAATTAATGCTTTTGGTTTCTTATTGTTTAAAAGAATAATATTAAAAAGAATATATTTAAGGTTGCTAATAAAAGATTTGAAGAGGGGATTTCTTATCTTCTTGGTAAAAGTTTTGAACAAAATATTGTTTTTTTGTTTTAATTTTCTAATACAATAATTTAAAATAAGTGAAAAAGAATTATTATTATTATTTTTAATCCTAATCAATTATTTAAAAACTATTATAATTTTTTTTCTCTTAATCAGGCCATATACCAGTTATATTTATTATTTTCAAACTCTAGAATTAAATATACCTTAATATAAATATTATATAAATACATATATTAATAGTAAAACTTATTAACACTATATGGCATACCTATTAATAGTCAATAGTCTCTAGATATGATTAAAGGAAATAAAAAATTGCTTAATTTTAAAAAAACATTTCTTGTTTATTTAAAATATTATAGCCAGACTTTTATAAAGACTATTACTTCAATTTAACTTTATAGTTCTAAGAGATAAAAAAATTTTTTTTTTAAAAAAAAATAAAAGATAAAAAGTAAAAGATAAAATATAAAAGAAAAGTTTGTACTAATAAAATAAAAATCTATCTAAATCAATTATCAGTCTAATAAAAACTTTATTTGATCTTAAAGAAAAAAAAAACTGATATAAGAGAAAAAAAAAAAACTTCAAATCACTTCTATTAAAAGAATGCCTCAACATTTTGCTCTTTTGCCATATCCAATTGCATTATCAGTTTTGGTGTAGTATAATATAAAGCAAATAAAGATATATGTCTTGTTTATATTTTTTTTATACAGTATATCAATCAATTAGTTCAAAATCACCAATCAAAATTTTCAATATAACAAAAAATTCAAAATTAAATTGAAGTAAACAAAATTTTTTAGAAAAACTAAAAAAAAATTTGATATATTTAAAAATATTATTATAGATATATATGATTGATAAAAAAAATCATATATTCAAATAAATTTTTTATTAGCTTATTTATTTGTCTTAACTTAAAGTGTTTACTTAAAGTGTTTACTTATAATAAATTCAATGTTCTTATAAAGCTTAAAAAATATATTTACTAGTAGTTCAATTTCTAAAGTTTCAAATTTAATAAGAGTATAGTAAAAGATATTTTTTTAACAGGTTTCTTCTTTCCAATAAAATGTTTTTATCATAAATCAAATAAATAAAATTTTATTTATATTATTATTGAAATATATAAAGTTTTTTAAAAAAAAAAAAAATAAACAAGTAAATAAGATATTTAAAAAAATATGTAGATTTTATTATTAAAAATAAAGAATATTTTTGAAAAAGTTTGTTTTTTTGAATTGATAAAAAAATTAATAAAAAAAGTTTATTAAAATAATTAAAAAAAAAACTATTATTAATTTTAACAAAATAATATATATACTGTATATATAAAAAAAACTTTTTCAATAATTTTTTTATTAATCCAAAAAATAAATGTTCTCAAAGATTTTTTTTTGAAGAGGTAAAGAATACTAATAGCACATGTATTTTTTATTAAGTTATTTATATCCAATTATATAACTATAAAGATCCATTTAAGTTAATCCACTCTTTTACCTATAGTCTTATTCAGTAATATCAATTTTTATTATCAAAAAGGTAATTTGACTTATTGAATAGAATCTTTAGGGAATAAAAATTCTATTACTAGTTTTAAACTATCTAATCTAATCTAGATCTTGACTTTGTTATTTGAAGTATATATCTTTTAAAGTTAATTAAAACATTTAAATAACCTGTTCAATATTTTTTACCTGAACCCTTAAAAAAGATATTGTATTCTTTGTTATTACCTGTGATTTTAAATTTCTTTTTTTATTAATTCTTCTTTTTTAAAGCAAGCATTGAATTGAAATAGTCTCAGACTAAAGTGTTTTTTATACTATAGAGTCTGCTGTGCCAGAAAGGGTTATGTGTTTATATTAAAGTTAGACCAAAAATCTTTCCTTGTACAATCTTTTTTGCTTTAATCTATTTTTAGCTTGCAATCATTAGAAAAACCAAAGGTTTCATTTTTATATAGCCTAACTAAATTTAATTAGGATTTGGATATTTGAATATGACATTTGTGAAAAAGCCAATAAATCCACAAATAAAGGATAAATTTTATATATTTTATTCCTATGGATATTAAATTAGAAACATGTATTTAAAGACTTGGAAATATTATTTACTATACTATAGACCCACAAGTCTGATATTCTCAAAAATTTTATATCTTTATAATAATAAAGTTTATACATTTTCTTAACAATACAGATTTTTTAATCAGCAGAATAAGCAATAGTTACTACTTGTTTATTTTTTTTTTCAAAACATTTTTCTTGTTTATTTTTGTAACTAAATACAAGATATATATTTAAAAGATCTATGGCAAAAATATTTTTCTAGAAAGAAAACTGATAAGAAAAAACACATCAAAGACTTTTAAGAGATTTAAGAATTCAAAAAAATAAAAAAAAAAGTTTTTAGTATCTTTATTATTTTTTTGACTTTCTATTTTTTTTTTTTTTAAACATGCTTCTTTTTTTTTATTTTTTAAGAAAATTTATCTATCTCAGTTTAATCCTGAATTTTGATTATACCAGATCTCCTGAAAAATAATTGGTCAAAATCACAGATTAGTTGATTACATTAGTTACAGAAAAATAAACAAG